TCAGCACTGGTAATGCCTAGAGGACAGCCCCAGGCTGGCTCCTGCCTGCTGGTACACTGCTCCATTGCACTGCTCTCATCCCACTGTAAGGGAGGGTGCTTCTTACAGTCTGGAGTTGGTTCATCCTTCTCGTGCTTTTAGATGATTGTAGTAAGTACTGCTATTTCACCTGCTATTTCATGAATACCTTTCACATTTTTTGTATTAGTGAAATAATTATTTCCTTTTAGGTTAGCATCAAAATACATGGAAAAAAAACTATGTAGCGCACTAATCCTTAGCTGTTGAAATAGGATGCAACAAAGGACTGTTAATGACAGACGTCATGGAGATGCATAGGGCTCGTGCACCTTTTCTCATACCAGAGCTGGGGGGGTTGACATGAGGTTAACGGGACTTGTCCGAACAAACAAAAGGAGATGCTTCCCTATGTGTATAACATAGAGCCTCCCATGTTAAAGCAAGTCAGGATGTAGGGTGCAAAAATTCTAGGCATTTAAGGGAATCACAGAATCACAGAATGGCCAGGGTTGGAAGGGACCTCAAGGATCATGAATCTCCAACCCCCCTGCCATAAGCAGGGCCACCAACCTCCTCATTTAATGCTAGACCAGGCTGCCCAGAGCCCCATCCAATCTGGCCTTGAACACTTCCAGGGACGGGGCATCCACAACCTCTCTGGGCAGCCTGTTCCAGTACCTCACCACTCTCTCTGTAAAGAATTTCCCCCTGAGGTCCAATGTAAATCTCCCCTCCCTCAACTTAAAACCATTTTCTCTTGTCCTGCTGTTATCTACCCTTTCAAAGAGTTGATTCCCCTCCTGTTTGTAGGCTCCCTTTAGGTACTGAAAGGCTGCAATGAGGTCACCCTGCAGCCTTCTTTTCTCCAGGCTGCACAAGCCCAGCTCCCTCAGCCTGTCTTCATAGGGGAGGTGCTCCATTCCCCTGATCATCTTTGTGGCCCTCCTCTGGACCCTCTCCAACAGCTCCCTGTCTTTTTTGTACTGGGGGCTCCACACTTGGATGCAGTACTCCAGATGGGGCCTCACAAGAGCAGAGTAGGGGAGAACAATCACCTCCCTGTCCCTGCTGGCCACCCCTCTTTTGATGGAGCCCAGGATACCATTTGCCTTCCGAGCCATAAAGGCACACTGCTGGCTCATGTTAAGTTTTTCATCCATCAAGACCCCCAGGTCCTTCTCCACAGGGCTGCTCTCAAGGACTGAAGTTTGCGGAACAGAAATATACTGAGAGTTACTACTTGTTAAAAACAAAACAAATAATAAAAGAAGACTATTTTTGGAACATGAGTTTCAGTTTGGAGTTTTAGAGACATTTCTAGTGAAGTTTTACGAAGAAACGTCCTTTTTAAAATGGTACCCTAAGCATTTCCCAGCTGTCAGCCTAGCTCCTTGGGTGTAATATGGTAACTGTAGGCCCAGGGCATCCTAGAACTGCCATTGCAGCATTGCAGCAGAGTTGTTTTAAAGCCCTTTGGAAGTGAAAACTTATCAACAGTATTTATTTAATTTTTTTCCTTTTTTTACTTTTCCCTGCAATTTTATTTAGATTCAGGTTATTTTATATTTTGCATTGAGCCTTTAATACATTTATGACCCGTAGCCAATCTTATCTAATATTTTTGATTGAAAAATAATTTTTGTTGCCCTATCAGCTTGTTTTGAAATGTCACATATTGAATGACAAATACATTATTGTTTTCTCTGCAGGCACACTGCCCTCAAATTATGAATCCCTCTCATGAATACACAAAGCATCTTATTAAAAACAAATGTTTTTGTTGATTTACATCTGTTCTGCAAGCTTTCTCCAATATGTCTGTCCTATGCAAGATTGCTTGGAGTTTGGCATATGATAGTTCATTCCTGAGTGAAACAAGGCTTTCAAGGCTTCAAACATAACATGTAGAAATAAGATAGTGATTGGCTGTTGCCACAATTAGTACAAATTCACAAAGAAGAGCTTATCATTTTGCAGCACTCTCACACAAAGACCATCCTTTCATAGACTTATCACAGATGAGTCCATTATATTTTTATGGAAAAAAAATCTGTTTGGTTTTCTTTTTTGCACTTGAAATATTTGGAAGCTGTTTACATGAATGTTTCATTAAGTACTCTGATAGCATTCATTTGCTATTCTAAATTTTACACTTATTTGCCTGTCTTTTTTCTTTTTAATGCTAATCAAGTTCAGTAAACAATTCTTAAGAGCTTATTAATACGTATCAGGAAAAAATTACTGCAGTTCTCGGGACTAATTCTGTACAAGGAAGATGTATCTCATTTTAATATGCTGTTTGATGTCATTTGCCTCTATGAAATTTGTCCTTTTACCTTACTTAACAAGAGTAATTTCTATTATCCATGCAGCAACTTAAATTACATCTCATGGAACTAAAAAATAATTGGGGTCATTTTATCAGAAATGGAAGATTCTTAATTTTTTTCTCTGACTTGCAGATTTGGAGCTTATTTATACTCTAGATATTTACATCACTTTAGCTACACAAATTATCTTTCAAATGGAATCAAAAGTAATGTTAAGATTCATTTAAACCCAGTATAGGATGGGGTATTCTCAGAATGAGTAAAGATTGTACTGTCTATGGTTCCATTATTTCTGAAATTCCACCAGTGTCCTGGGTATGAGAAATTCAGAACTATGTTTCCACTACTGATGTTTGAACATAAAGTTCTATAATACAATAAAGTAGATATCTATTTAAATGTAATATTTAAAATATTTTTTTCAAGAATTATATAATGCTTTTTTAAAATTTCATACTTTATTTGGGCCAGACTGTTCTTTTCTTATTTTTAACTTTTCAGTTCCCTTTGTTCTTTTCTCTTTTATGATATTTTTAAGGTACCTTCCTCTTCAAATTGAGCATGTAACTTGATGTTTAAAAAAAAAAAAAGAAAGACCTGAAGGCATCTGCCTGGGTCCCTTTCCTGCTCACTACACTGTTATGTAACATCATAAACTAGGGTACTGTGAAGTTTATTTGCCTGAGTTTTATGTAGGAAGATATGTGTACGTTGGGGTAAGTGACAAGGCTAAGATCCATTCCCTTCACTTCCACCAGTGTCCTTAGGCTGATTTTCTGAAAGGTCCACTTGCCAGCCTCATTTTCACCTGATGACCACCATTCTTCAGCATCTCTTTCTACTTTAGCTATAGCTAATTGAGGTTTGCTTTTCTGTCACTGTGAAAGCCCTTCCCATCTCTGCTTTCTGCTTCCTTTTAAACTCTTTCTATAACTCCTTTTCTACCTGCCATGAGTGAAAGTGTTTCATCCTTGTTTTCCATCACATCAGGTTATATCAGCTCTGCTCATGATCCCTGTTTTCTTACTCCTGACTTCTTGGGCTTCTATAACTCCTTTCCTACCTGCCATCAGTGAAACTGTTTCATCATTGTCTTCCATCACATCAGGTTATATCAGCTCTGCCTGTTTTCTTATTTCTGTCCTTTTTGGGCTTCTATAACTCCATCTTCTCTGGTATCTCCCATCACTACACACCGTCCTTCTGATGTCATCTATGTCAGCTGTCATCTCATCATTACCAATTCTCAGCTATCTGGTGTTTCCTGTGACATTTTAACAGACCCCTCTATTATGTCATATTTGCGCGTTTGGCCCAGACCTGAGCCAAAGCCTTTACTCTGCTAAACTTTTAGACACATTTTGTGTCAATCTTAGTGCATGCTCTGCATGTATCTCAGCTGAGAGATGTGATTTCATGTCTGGTTGTGGGGATGTCTAGAAAACTGTGCAGCCAGTAGGCCTGCTTTAAGCAGTTCAGCTCTTTTAGTTAACAGAATGAGCTGAACTGAATCAAAAAGTGTGTTATATATGGTAATGAGTTTGTACTGTTTGGTCCATCCCCATCAAAGATCTGTTTCAGAGATGTATATTTTGCTTCAGCACCACATTGTGTATTAAGTTAAACACCAAGCCAGTTTTTTGTTGTTGTTCTTCCACTGTAATCACCTTATCTTAACTAAGCTCAAATTATGTACTTCTTATAACTAGACCCAAGAAAAACTCAGAGTCATTTACTGAATAAAAATATTATTCACAGCTGATCCCAAAGCTGGGAGTTTTCCATTTTAAAAGACTGATTCTGAATTTTTGGTCAATGTTATGTTTTTTAGAGAGGACACCTCTTGTGACTTTTGCTTCTCTCTAGAGGTGCTGTTGTATGCTTTGTTTTCTCCCTTTTACCACAAAATTCTCTATGGGAAATTTTCTTATTGCTCTACTTCAGAAGAGTTCTGACTTATAAATTCATGCTGCTGTAATGGCTCAATCTATCACTCAGCACAATAGAGCTGAGTACTTGATAGGATGAACTGTTTTAGAAAAAGTGTTGCAATGAATTGGGAACAAATGTCTAAATATAATATGCAAACTTGTGGTTTCCAGTTTTTCTTTTTGAAGTGGGAATCCCAGCCTACAGATAGTATAGTTGAAAATTGTTTAGACATTGTAAAAATCAGAGGAAAACACGAAGAACTTTGAAGACATTTTTTTCCTGCACGTCTTAGCGTTTCATGAAAAAGAACATATTTATTGTAAGTTATTCTTCAGTGTCAGTGTTCCTCATGCAGGTTATATTGTCAACGCTTCCATGACAGAGTTATGAACTAATATTCCTCCTTATGTGGAGAGGTTGACCACTGATGCAAGTCCACTGTCATTTCTTGTAATGTTAGAAACGTAACCTGTGTTCCTGCTATTCCTAGGCAGCTTGTATGCTGCGTACTTACCATCTCTGGCAGATATTCTTAGCAAAACCTACTTTTTTTTTCTTTTTTTAATTTGCTTTTTTTTCCCAGATGAAATGTACAGTGTCTCTATCATAGATTTTATTATTTTATTATGTTTTAATGCATTTTCAAGGATCTGCCTCCACAGCTGTGCGGAAGCATCATTGATTCACATGGATTCTGGGTAAATGTAGGAGTTGAGAATGATGGGAAGTTTTGATGACTTGGGATCAATAGCTGCAAACCAAAGGAATGTACAAAATAACAAAGTGGAATATGTGTATTTTGACATCTTCCTATCTGAATAGTAGACAGAGGCTTTTTTAATTCACTCAAATTCTTGGAAAATTTAAATGGGTTCTGAAATTAAGTAATCATTCAGCAAATATTCATCTGATAAAAAAAAAAAATCCATCAAATGCTAAAAGGGAATACATATCTTGTTTTGAATACAGGACAAAACTGGAATTGTAGCCATTGTGATCCTCACCCACATGGTCTGGCTTGAAGTCTAGGACTTTTCTTACTTTTAAAGATATTAGAAAAAATGTCTTTATTAATGCCAGTCGCCACTGTTTCCTTAAGAAATGAGATCAACTGAGAGTTTTAAGGGGACTGAATATTTGAGAGTCCTTAGTCTGCTTTTTTTTTTTAATGTAGCTTTGTGTTCATAAAAGCAGAAGAGAAAGAAATGAATGCTGTCAAGAGAATTACCCCTAAACTTTTCAGGAAAACCTATGTGGAGTTTGTTTGAAAGCCAAGAAAGCTACATGTTGCATATTGACAAATAATTACTTCCATCAAAATATTTCCCTACTCAAAAATGAAAATATTTTTAGCAATTAATTAAAAGAAGAAATCAAATTTGACCATCTCTAAACTGCATTTCCACCTGTATTCTACTGCACGTTGAGTTATAACTGATTTTATTGCATATTCTAGCTTTCAACACTATTCAACACTTTCAACACAATTCTAGCACATTCAACATATTTTCATCTTAACATATTTTTTTCTTCCTACTGAATGTCGCCACCCAGTACTAAACCAGCTAGTCTTTGATATTGTATACTGCATTCTTTCGTGAAACAGAATAACACTTTTTATGATTATGAGATTATGTTCTTGTTTTAGGATCGAGCCAGAGCCTCAAACTTCTCCCCAGATGAATTATTTTCTATAGACTTTTCAACAGTGTTAAGGCTGCATATAATGTATTTTGAGTTTGGGTTTTATATCAGTCTATCACTTGTATTTATAAAATACATCCTCAACATTGAATGATCTGCAGAATATCAGGAAGTTTTTGTTTCTGAATATAAATTACGTCTCTCCCTCCCTGTTTTTATTCTTTATTGCTCCAGTTAGTGTGCTGAAGCATGACAAGAGCTCAAACTCGGCAAACTTCCAAGATGTGGAGGATGCGCCTGACAGATGTGTCTTAGAGGAATCTGAGAGTCCAGGTGAGAACCATTTAAAGACAGTTACCAAGTACCATGTGATAAATCTGACACAGCTTTTGGGTCGGTAAAAAAGGCACATTGTAATGCTGTTTCCTTTTTAGCAGCTGCAGTGTCAAATTAACAGTCACCTCTAGGGGTCACAGTGTTATCCTTTCCTCTTTCATCAAGAATTCAGGTCTTAGAAAGGATAAGGTCTTTATGACCAAAAAGAAAGCTGACACAACTAGTTCATTATAATTAGTTTTGGACTACACTTCTTAGTTAATATATGTGCAATGTCTGACCCTTTGAAGGTAGAATGAGGTTATGAAAAATTAGAAGCACTGTATATACTGCAGTTAAACTTAGCAGTGGACATTCAAATACTGTATCTCTGGAGGAAAGCAAATTGGTAGTGTTAAATAGCTTGATTCTTTTCTCTAAATCAGTTCACAATCATTATTTCATTTTAATGACTCTTAACATTGATTTAGTTAAATACAAGAACATCCATAAAGTGCATTATTTTTGGTGACTAAAAGATTTATCTTCATGTAGTATCATTATCTTCCTAGTTATGGAATATCTAAGAAATTCATTAAATGAATCCCAAGGGGAAACAAGTATGAAGTAGATCTAATCACAGCTGATTAAAAACATTCTATGCAACTAAGTATTAAAATCTTATAAATGGTCTATGAGCTTGATCCACATACACCATATACGAAACCTGCACATAGTACTCATTAATGAAAGAGTTAAACATCTTTCTTCACTCAGTATTTTCCTCCTCTGCTTTATCTGGTTTCTGTGTACCCTCTTGCATCTTTGTGTGCTGATCCGTGTATCATATTTTTGATTCATCGTCTCTGTGGCCTGTCAGCTTAGTTAAGAGATTTCCAAATCTTGCAGCCTGTGCTGACAGGGGGCAGCTGCCAACAGTCCCCTGATCCTTCCCCAAGGAACACTGCTGAGATTTAATTTTCAGTCAAAGGGTGCAGTCTGAAATCCATGTCAGGTCCCCTAAGTCATCTCAGAACCCAGAAAGGACCCCTGTCTGGGGGATTATATTTCAGCACACTCCACTCTTCCAAGATTCCTTGGGAGTTCAACTGCCGTCATATACCTGATTTGAACTACATTCCTTTTTCATCTTTTCCACAGAAATGAACACAAGTATACGTTAGAATAATTGAAACCAATGATTTGTAAATTCGTATTCATTTTAAAGCCACATTGGCTTGAACTCACTGCTGTACAGCAGAAGGCAGCATGAGATTTAGAAAGAAATATGTAATCTACTTGGGAAGGAGACCCGTATAATTTCCTTGCCATGGCCACCTCAAACTGTTTGTGGTGCATGGTACATCCTTCCGAAACCATCTGTACAGTGGTTTCTACAATGATTCTGTATGAAAGTGTGGGTTGTCCAAGAGCTGATCTGTTCTAAGGTGAAAAAGAATTTAAGCAATGTGATGTGAAAGTGTTGAGGTGAGAATTAATGTACGTTAAAGATAACGTTAATTCGAACCTTGATTTAAATTATTCCGCGTGGCAAAGTGCACACATTTGGATGGGAACTTGAATACCAATTCTACATTCTGCAAGTCTATGTGAAGTAATGGAAAGGATAAAAAACTATCAGGAGGTGAATGCTGGCTAGCAAAAATACACGTTGATAAAGCATCTAAACTTAAAAACTGAGTTCTGTGCGGTCCATCTGACATCATTAAACTGGTAATAAACAATGAATTACTCTGGCTTTTGTTTCTGTCCATTCCTGCATTTTAAGACATCTTGTCTTATAGGTCTGAAAACCTCAGGAGATTTCACTACTGGTCTCACTGCTTTCCACAGAGAATTTGTGGCTTGGTTGTCATGGAGACATCGTATTTCTCCAAGAATTGCTCATATTGATCCGTGGACAGGCGTAAATGGCCAGGCGAATGTGAGGAGTAAAGGGGGTTGGGCAGTACTATAAAATGACCAGAGGTTATGGGTCGGAAATAAGCTCATAGCAAACACTTAGGTAAAGAGAAAGAAACAGTTTCATTTTGTTTCAGGATTTCGTTTTTGCACTTTATGCCATTGTCTTCTTTCACTATAGACTGAAAGAAACTTGTTAGTCACTTGTCATGTCAGATCTTTGGTGCTTGTCCTGACACAGCTGTCAGCCTTCCAGCTCTGTGCAGTTCAGGGACACACAACAAAGAGCCAGGAACATGAATTATTTATTGCTCCTTGTGCGGATGAAATTCTGTGATAAGAAATTAAGACACTTCTGACCGAAGTGCTTGTTTGAAAGGAGAGATTTGATAACAGACTACATTCACTTAAAACTTACTACTTACTTTTAGTAGCAAACATTGAAACAATAATATGGCATTCAGTTGGGTAAGATTTTCTCTAGTGTTTCTCAGGTGTTTTGACTTTGAAATGGATCTTGGAATTTAAGTGTGCCTGGAAGGTCAGCATTTGATTTGGTAAAACCTGTGAATTTAGCTCTCTCTCTCATATTCAAAGTCAGGACAACAGACGATCATTTATAAGCTTTAACTAAAGAGTTGTCATTATGTTTGTTTTGCAGACTCTGTTGCATTTCACTTAGAATATGTTGTTACATGTGCAAAAGTGATGTTAAGAAATATCTTCACTTTATTATCTCTTCTGATGAGGAAAAGATGAAAGTATAACAACATACCAGAAAGGAACTCCAAATATTTCTAGACAGGGTTCCTTATTGCATCTTCTACCAGCATCAGTAAGGCTGGAGTACATAGCCATTAGTAGACATATCTGTTTACTGTGCTTTCTACTGGTGAGAAGTGCAGCCTCTAACCTTGACAGAAGAGTGAAAGTTATTTTCAAAGTGATCTAAATTTTCTAAAATCACATAAAGAGTACTCTGCTTATTTTACTTTCACACTCTTTATGTGCCTGTACATGTTCTTACAGCTCCAGAGGTGGGCCTCCAGCAGTCCTGGATAAAAGGCCCATACTCAGATGGCAGGAATCCATCTGACTAACCAAGACCCCAGTCTGAGATTTACCTGTGATTTCTTGTATTCAGTGTGTGATCCAAGCTACACTTAGGTAGGAAATGAAACCCCTCAACCTGCACTTTTCTCTTGGATAATTCACAGCAAACACTTTTCATGTGTGATGGACACAGGTAAATTTCAGACTGCAGTTTCTTGTCTAAGTGAAATAGATTTTAGTTTCTCCCTTCATGTGCCTACAAGCTGCCATTATCTGTGATAGTGGCTCATGTCTATTTTAGCCCTCACACAGAGGAGATACTGGGCTTCTCTCTCAGATGCCTAATAGTAGGTTTATCACTGCCATTTTCCCTACATGCTGAGGGCTACTTCTGTTTGATATGCAAAGCTTTGGCTTTTCAAACTCTGCTCTGGCCTTGAACATAATAATCAAATAGGAATTGCAACAAATTTTTGTAGAACTTAACTTTTAATCACATTAAACTGCTGCAAAGAATTCACTGCATTTTAGAATGATTCTTCAGTAGAAAAAAATATTCACAGTATTGTTTTCCATTTCAGCAGTCAAATTTTACACACTTAGAGAAACCGAGAAAGAAGCTGAAACTGATCAAATATAGATGTCTGAGTTCTATGCCTGAGCTATTCACCCAAATATTCTTGTGTAAACAATGGTGGAAAATTCACAGCCCTAGAAGAGAATCCTGTTCGTAGGGCATTGCTTAAGTTTTAAGGGTATTGAAAGTGCTCTGAATTTTGTCAGTCTGAATCTGAGAGGAACAGAGCAAGAGTTTACACAACTGCAGATGTTTTAGTTTTCATATGTGCTGCAGTCCCTTTAAAGAAGCTTCTGCAAGCATAGCACTCATGAGATTAAAAAAAAACAGATTTGAGTGGAAGTCAGAAGGAACAGTGTAGGCACAGATGCCCCTCACCTCTTGTTTCCCCCACAGAGATATTGCAGTAGATCAAGCAATAGGTTGTTGCTTTCTTTGGTAATGGAGGAAAATTGAGCTTGAACAGATCAAGCAAAACAAAGCAACAGTTGAAAGCTGTAGATTGGAAATAAAAATTTTTCTATCTTTTGGATGAAAACCTTGTAAACAGTAAGAATGTATGTATGGCCTTCAGTAGGCAGGAAGTTTGGCTGAGTCAGCTGGTCCCTTCTGCAGCTCATGATTGCTCCCTGTGATATCTTCACTGCAAAAACATCATTGCTATTAATTTTTTCCTTCTTTCAGGACAGAATGTGATTCTGATCATATGACAGATTACAATGAGAATACAAACAGTTTTCACAGTCTGCCATAGTTGCATGTCCTAGGTAGACCTTGACACAGAGATGGGAGAGATCTTTGACTGCTCCTGAAGTACAATCTGCAGGAAATAGAAATGAGAATGTGGACGTATAACAAGAACAGATACTAATCAGCTGAGTATGAAATGTTAGTGTCTAGGGGTAATTCCAGAAATTAGGCCCATAAGAATTTCACTGCACTGGATGTTTTGCCATGTCCCATCATCATTCAGCATTGCTAGTATTGAGTCATTGTTTGTTTGGTTTGGTTTTACCTTGTAAATGAAACTGTAAAACCAGAAGATTACATAGTTGACAACAGGAAAATGTGTCTCTCTTATGTCTAAGACATAGATAGGCAGATAGATGACAGACAATAGGACAAACTGAGAAGATAGCCATTAGGCTGGGAAAGAACAGCATGTTTCATGTACTCATAAAGTGTGCTGAATGTACATGAGCAGTTTTTCTAATTTAAGTGGTACTTCAAATTCAGGTTGTAAATATATAAATATATATGCATTAAATGGGAAAAAGTCATGAAGCTAAAAACTGATGACTGAGATTACTCCTTACAAATTTACCTATTTATGCCTTAGTAATAAAGCTTCTTACTACTACTGTTTACAGCTAATGCTGGATTGTTTCTGTTGAAATATATATATATAATTTGAAAATGCTTTTTCCATAGGAAATGCAAATACTCTATTAGCTATAAACTGAAATTATTTTTTGCTTATCTACTAGAAAGTGTTTCATTCAAAACGAAAAGGTGAAGAAGATGAGAGGAGGACTGTTTCATAGAAAAACTCTGAGGAAGAGTATGCATTCTCTTAAGCTGCTTTGGATTCCATATTGCCTCATGTAATATTGCAATTATGATGTGAATAGAATAGAAATTTTCTGCATGTAGATTTTTTGTTTTTTTAACACTACTGTGTTGATGCTGAAAGTCTTAATTTCATTACAAAAATATACTAAATCTACAAAAAAATTTTCAAATAACTTTTTTTTTTTTTTTTTTTTTTTTTTAACAAAATACATTTCTTTCTTTTCCAGATGACATGAAGGCACATCCCTGGATATCTAAGGTGTGCTCCTGTAAGGTGTGTTAGAAGACCCCACTTAGCTGAAAGAATACGAAGATGCACAAGAGCAGCCAAGACATAAGATAAAGGTGGAATGGACATGGGGTGGCTTATTGTGGTTATTATTTTGTACCTTTAACACTTCATTTTTGGAAGAAATATCTTCCATAATGTCAGCTGCTCTCTGCTGATTTACTGAATTCAATTCACACTTCTCTCACTAATGGATTTACAGTTATTCAATTTAATTTGATATTTCTAATATAGAAAATATCAAGTCCTTATTTTAGATGTTTTTCATTAGCTACACTAGTGATTCCAAACACTGATTGACTGTAAACTCTTGCCTCAGTTTGAATATTCTTTTGAATGTAACTAATTTAAATAATCAAACTTATTTTTTCTCTCCTTTCTTCTCACTTTTATTGCCAATAGCATTTTAACACTAAGCAAAATGAAAAGCATTTGGCTAATTTGAAAAAATAGAGATTTTTTTTATTATTATTTAAAGGAAAATGCACTGAAATATTTAGAAACAATAAAATATAAACAACTTTGTGCTCACAGGTCTGCATGGGAAATTGATTTTAAGTCTGGTCATGTCTAGCATGTGAACTTTCCTTTTATACTGCCAGCAGTATAATCTGAATAAAGGTGCTCTGGTATGAAGAAGGGAGAAGCCAATCTGAGTTCTCTTCTCAAGTGATGCACTTTGTTGAATTGCTGTTTGTGTTCATGGGAAAAGAAGACACGCATCTTTGTCCTTTAAAAAAAAAAGATTGTGTTTGGAAAATATTTGCAGTTCTTGAGATTTATATATCATGTAGAGTTCTGAAGTATTTCTGCTGGTCTGCTGCTCTGAGCAGCACATTTTCTTCCTGTATTATCAATAATAGGAGGGCTAATGAAGTCAAAGAGACTTGTAGATGGTATTGTCTGGATTGGTATGATGGTGGAAATCATACCCTGATATTATGCTTTCTGTTATGTTAGCCATAGTCTGCCTTATCTAGTAAATTGGGGATTTCTTTAGTGTGACAAGGTCCTCTGGCAATGAATTCCTCCCCTCTTTGTGGGGAAATGTCATGGCTGTAGGTGTTGTTATTACTATGGCTTGCATTTGGCTGCGACATCGTAAGAAATAGTATTTGAATTGTCATTCCACTGAAAATACGCCATTAAAATGGGTTGAAGCCCATGGTAGATAAAGATATTTAATTTTCTTTTTTTGGAATTATGTATACCATGCATAAAATGACATCGTTTATAGAAAAGTCAACGTGTTTTACATACTTGGTATGTTTCAGGAGGAGCTTTCATAGAATCACAGAATATCCTGAGATGGAAGGGACTCATAAGGATCATTGAATCCAACTCCTGGATCCATACAGGACCACCCAAAAATCACACCATAAGCTTTCCTTATTAGGAGTCATTTTCATAGATAAACCATACTTTTTGTTTATACAGGCTTATGTTTGAATTATGGTGACTAAACAAACTAGACATGGAGTGGTATGGCTTCATTCTTTCATTTATCACGCTAGATGTCCGTAGTAATTTCACTGACATATTTATACTTGCATAACGCAAGTTCTGCACAGCCAGTAGCAGCACAAGCCTTCAGCTGACGTATACCCCCTTCTTAAACTTTATGGTAAAATCAAAGATCAAAATATCAAGAAGGTGAAAATAAAGTTACAAGTATGATTACAGGAACTTACTACAAAAAATCTGCAGACAGTAAACCAAATGTACTATAATGCTTGAACATCGCTATCTTCTTCACCACATACCCTCATCAACAGTCATCTCTATTTTGCTTAAGTAATCTTCCACATCCAGTGCAACATCCATCTTCACTACAAACATAACGGCTTTGCGTCAGTATCTACTGACTTGTACCAGCTATGTTCTTAGTACAAGAGTAGCAAATCTCCTAAAACCATTTGTGCAAGGTATTTTTAAAAACTGTGTGTTCAAAAAGGTGTCATAACTCAAGGAATTGGCATTGTCCATAACACCCAGTATTGCTGTGGCAGCAATTACATTTGTGCAGCACAATATTTGATTGCTTGTCTTTAATTCGTCAAAGCAGTGCACATCAGCAGACTGCCAATACAGACAGCCCTTGGAACAGGTTGTGCGATGATGATTGGTGTTTGCTACGTGCTTATGTGTGCTTTGCACTAATTATAATTGCGGTCTCAGGAAGGTACGTGTACTGTGCCTGGTTAGGATGGAGTTAGCTGTGCTCTGGACTTGTATCTCCAGGTCTGCTGCCCCAAAGGCCAGCAGGCTGGGGCGGGCGAAAGGTGGGGAGAAGCACAGCAGGACAGCTGAACTAAACTCACCGAAGGATATTCCGTACTGTATGATGTAATGCTCAGCAATAAAATCTGGCTGAAAGAAGGTGAAAGGGGGAACTCTGTGAAAGCGTTGGCCTTCTTGAGTGTATTTAGGCCATGCTTTCCAAGAACTGGATGAATAATTTTTCTCCTTTTGCTTCCATATGACCTTTGCATTTTTTTTCCCCCTTTCATTAAACTGCTCCTTATCTCAACCCACAAGCTTTTGTTTCCTTTCATTGTATTTTCTCCCCCTGTGTTTCTAAGGAGGGGGAGTGAGAGAGGTGTGGCGGTGCTGAGCTGCCCATCGGTTGTTAAGTCACCTCAGGAAGACAAGAATTTTTCTTATAGGGTACATTTAAGTCCCAGTAAAATGAATCTATTTCCAGTGTGGTCTGGATGCCTTTCAAGTAACAGCTATACAGTATATGCTCAGGATGAACTCTTGCTTAGAAAAATCTTTGTGTATCAAAGTGATAATTTTAGAGCTCTGTAGAAAAATACATATTAACCTCCTTAAATTGTTTCTTATAAGCCATAATAACTGAAGAAATATTTATGTACTAATGCACTCTGATGTACCATTGTGTTCATTGTTATGGAGATTGATTTTACAACAAAGTTGCAAGGTAATTATGAATGTATTTCTCTGTTGTGCTACATTGGAGGAATCCTACCAAAAGAAGTCACATAATAATATTTTAGAATACATGTCCAAATTTTAGGTAGGGATAAAAATTTAATGAAAGCCTACACTGCTTGGGGAGCAAGGCCTTATTTTTTGCTTCCTCCGGAAGTCATAGGGTCTTTTAAGTCAAATGATCAATTCATAGTGTTTTAAGCAACATTAGGACATCTTACCATTAAACAGAGCAGCTTCTCCCCACCTCAGCCTATGTTTTTATGTCTCCTCACTTGAGTTTGCACTCATATGACTAGGCTACGTCAACACCAGTCTCAGTGCATGGAACAGAGGAATAACAAGCAGCTCAGGCCAGGAGGATGGGTGAGATACCATGTAAGTTGGTGGAAAGCCACAATTACACCAACATTATCTCAGCACAAAATTGGAGCTTTAGTATGCTTTATGAAAGGGTCTTTCTTGAAAATAGATATTCGGCTTTCAAATCCTATAGGCATATCTATAATTATGCTTATAATTCATTACATTAAAAAAAAAAAAACAACAACAAACCTCTGATTCTTTATTATAAGCCCAAGCCTAAAGTCATTGACATTTCTTTAATCTGATGGATTTTGAGTTTTCCAAATGATTCATACTTGTTAAATGATCACTGATAGAGATACTTCTGCCTGAAAACATCCCTAAATACTGAACCATTCATTTATAGCTCTAAATACAAACCATTACATTTTGAAATCTCATGTACTTCCATTCCTGGGTTGTATTTTTTTTTTATTTTTTTTAAACAAGGCTCTTCCCCAGTACAGTGGAAAATGCCCTTAAAGTACATTGGCGTAGAACTTGAAATACTCATATGAGATTCAGAGAGAAGAGAGTGAAACTATTCAATGAGACCACTATGTAACAGAGCCACAAGCTCCAAAAAGCACCACGAACCTATAAATGGAAATGATTTTGCATATCTGACCAAGCTAAAGGTGTTGAAAATTCTGGAAACAAAATGGGAAAGGGTGTAACAAAGAGCATCACTTCAGATTTTTACTCCTTTTGAAAGAGTATGTTCTCTGAAAGCAAGCTAGGGGAATGAGCTAGAGCGTAAATCTCAAAGTCACTGTGCCAACATTGAACAGCTAACAAATATGCACACTTCTGCTGTAAGTTCTATGAAGAAAAAGTCCTGTTCCTCATGTTTCAGATATTTCTGTTGAGTTTTACAGGCCATTCTTGTATGATAAAAGCATGCAGAGGAATTTCAAGGATTGATCTTTCCCTTTTCCCTCGCTCATGGAAAAGCCAGAATGAAGTGCTGGACAGAGTTCTTGGTAGTATTACTACAGACTCCATTGGTTTACGATTTGAATCCACTGATCCCCAAATAATTATTATTACAGATCCTTCAACAATATTATTTGAGAAGTAACACATCTATGGATGCAACCAAAGTAAAAAAAAATAACAACTCAGAATTGTCTAATTGAGGACTATGGGAAGTTTACCTTTTGATGGCAGCTGCTGGATAGTCTAAAGGGTGACCAGGAGCTGTGCTGCAGTACAAAGGTACCTCATGTAAACACTGCCTTCTCCACGTTCTGTTGAATATGTGAGTCCTGGCTACAGTATGATCAGTAAGTACAAATATATCTGCCAAAGTGAAGCAGCACAAGTTCTTAAACAATGTTAAAATATCTAAATATCTGCTGTTTGTTTTTTTTTTTTTTTTTTTAGGGTGGACTGTATACATGATGAAATTGTTACTTGTTACTAATTTAATTGCACTTATGCATTTATGTAGTTCTAGAAACTTTAGCTAAAGAACAGAGCTTTGTAGCCTGATTTCCCGTTAAGTGTCTCACAATGTAGGGCTAAAAGCCATTTTTCTTCCTCTGGCAATATGCTCAGTAAGATAGCCAGGAAAAGTACCATCACTCGAGTAATATATGTGGTTTAATTAAGTACATCGCTCCCTCCATTTTTACAGTAACTGAGAGAATTATTTTTGTATTTATTTTTAGCATTTGAAAGCTTAATACTCAGCAGAAAAATATTAACAGTATCCAGAACTAGCAAAATAATTGTATTTTTCTTATCTATTCTCAGATTTTATATAAACAATTTGTAAACTTCTTGTTAATACGGATCTGGAGAATTCTAAGTGACTACAAATTTCCCGCACAGAAACTTAAGGCAATCAAATATTCTGTCCAGTTTCATAGCTTGATTTTCTATAGCCACACTGGCAAACAGTGTGCCAAGTAAAATGCAGCAAACATATTGTTGTTTGTTTCGGTTTATAGTCTTCCTGCCATGTAGATGGCAGCAGCACTCAAGCCTTGAAATTCAC